AAGAAACAAGTAGGAGTCGCCAATGCGTTTTAGGAAAACTCATAAACCTCGTTCATGTCTTTCTTCCAAATAGTGTTCAAGGGATAATTAGCACGAATCGTAAGTTACCGATTGTAGACACCCATTTGTGTCTCACCAAAACCAAACCCAGTGATGAATACCCTTTCATGTCATTTGATTATCGAACAAAGCAAAAGTGTGAAAAGTCTAGTGATGAGGTTGTTTTTATTAAAATATCTCTTCTTTCTGTTTTTGAAAATATTTCTTTTCTTACCTTATTTTTTAAAAACGTGCATTCCAGTTTAGTTTGTTCCATGACAAGGGTCCAATAATGGTGTGGTTGGATGGGGTTAAAAAGACCTTTCCAACGATATATTATAAGCTCAATTCCGATGAGTAATGAGGAAGTTATGGCCAAAATAATAAACTGGGCCCGGTTTGGTTTTTATATGCGGCCCAATGATCTAGAGGATGACCTATTATTAATTATCATTCCTAAAGCTATTAGGATTGATTATAGTCTTCTAGAATACTCTAGAAGGTTCTCTTAAATCCTAATGGAGTTAGGATTGATAATTATGTTTCAAAGAGTTTGAAATTGAATAAAACTACTCCTTTTTAGAATCCTTGTTTTGTACGAAGTGGAATATATTCAGATTTTATTTTCGTGCCTCATAATATTTATCCAAATTTTATATGGTTGGATAGATCTTGAATTATCTTTCCAATGATATATTATAATATTAAATCCGAGCTATAACGAAAAAGATATGAATTAGATACAAAACTCTATCCAAAACTAAAATCCTTCCACTATTTCGTTCATATCTTTTTATCTATAAAATATTTTAATCTTATTTTAATTTGGTTTGAAAGTAGACTTCAATAGCTTTCCAACGACATATTATATGACTTATTTGGACGTCTGGATCAAAAGATATGATAAAAACAAAATCCGCAAAAACTGTTTTCCAGCGCCTGGCGCCACTCCTGTCGTCTGGCGCCAGAGCCTAGCGTATGGCGCCAACTCTGGCGTCTGGTGCTATAGTCCAGAGTTTAGCGCCACGCGCGTGTTTGACGCTGCGATCGTGTTTTATTCTTTTCGAAACTCTGATTCATTTTTTATCACATCCGACTGATTTTCTCTATAAATAGCCTCCTAAAACCTTCGTTTTCAATCATCAATTCTCATCAATTCTTTCTATCATCAACTCTCTCTAATTCTCTTCTCTCTCTAAGCTAAAGCTTATTCTCTCTCTCTCTCTTTTCTAAACTAGCCTTTTGCATACAAAATTCCGCATTCACAAGATCTAGATACATCTAGCCAAATTCGAAGTTGCCTTCGCCCTAGACGTGAAAGGTTTGATATTTCTGAGGGTTTGGTCCCAAATCTAGTCTAAACTTTCTTAATTATTTATTTCAATTATTTAATTTAATTGTTTGTTTTATATTTTCCTTGAAGTTACTAACGTGTGTATTTTGTTATTAGAAAGAGATACGAGACATCCAAGTAAGGGCTTTAATTGATTTTTATTGATATTATGATATAGAAATCATGCTTAGATTGTTATTTTGATTCCTAGCATCATGTTAGGGCGTTTTGATCTTCCTAGTATCATGTTTAGGGTAAAAAATATAATGTCAATTATGATTTCTATGATGCCTTAGCTTTTATTGTCTTTCCTAATAGTATCATGTTAGGGCTATATATTTGATCTTTATTGTTTAGTGACATGCTAGGGTTTGTTATTAATCTTGTTAGTATCATGCCTAGGATCTTGCTATTATTATGCTTTAACATGATTATAATTATGATAATTATGATTATTATGATTATTATTTTTTATTGTTATGTTGCTTGATATATTACATATATATTGTTATTGCTTGTTCACACCTTTTATGCATGTTTAAAGGGATTTTTTACTTGTAATCACACTTAATAAGATAATTAATAATCTTGTTTAGGGTTAATTTGGTTATAATTCAAGTGATCTCCAATAATAGGTTTGTTTGTGCATTAATATTCAACCAACATAGATAAACAGGTTTAGGGTTAATCCTATTGATTGCATGTTAGTCAGAAAGCGCACATGAATACGATCTGAATAAAGTAGAGGCCTATTATTAGGGCAGTTTCAATCTCTTTTAGGTTGGATTTGTACCTTCATACCCGAACTACCAGTCATGGTTCCAGACCTATTGGAGTTAGCGATCTCCTAGATCGTTAAGGGGTGTAACCTTCACCTCGTGAACGGTTTACAAGTTCCTAAAACTTGTTGGCGCCTCTTTTGCTCTATCTTCTTTCCCTTTGAATGCCACCGTACTTTAGTGTATGATCACAGTAGGGTTCAAGTTTTGGGATAATGCTTGAAATATTCCCTACACCCATGCCCAAGTTGGTCTACATAAACTAGAAATGAGTTCGAGAGTGACGGTACTAAGATAACATTCCCTTTATAGGGAATCACGCACTATCTTAGCCCTAGTACGACCTTTACTAGCTCTTCCTTTTTAACAATTTCATTACCAAACAATATATGCAACGTGATACCTAAAGACTAAGTAAGTTGATTTTTTTTACACGCATCAATCACGCAGGAATTACATTGCAAAGTCGTTATTCTTATTTAATTCAAATTCGTGAAAAGAACAAAATAAAAAAGATTCGCCATAGCTTAAGTGATTAATCAACAATTAATTATTCAATTCTATTCTTATTTAACGCAAGATACTATGTGAAATTGATTAATTAAAAGTCCGTTTAAAGTGATCAAACAACACTAATTAATTGATTAAGGTTATTTTAAACAAGAATATAAAGGTGATTGATCTAAGTGCTCAGGATTTTACCACTTCTCTTTGCTAGATCTTCGTTTAGAAAACTTATGGACTCCTTCTTGTTCGGGAACCTCCACCGTAGTAACAAGTATGAGAGGGGTGAGTGTTTAGGACAAGAGGGTTTGGTAGCACACAAGCTCACAAAGTTTCTGCCATAGTTTTAGGTTAATTTTTGTTTGTTTTAGGTTAGTTTTAGGTTATAGGGAATGGGTGCGTTTAGGGTTTTGAACATTTTATCACAGCACGTGTCGCGTGCATCTGAATGAGTTGCGTGCGGAATCCCAGGTTAATTCTCCCAAAAGTCTCGACATGACAAGTAGTATTGGGAGGCTGCAACAGGGTAACCAAGCTAATTCAAATAAATACAGGTTATATCAAACAAACCCAGCAAAGTTATTTTCAAAACCAATATCACATCAAATCTTACCCGACATCTAGCTTCTTCTCGACTCTTTAACACCCGACCTCTAGTTTTTACTTGGCCACCAATCGTTAATGACTCGTCCTACAACAACATATACAAACCTATCCATAATCAATGAAACTATGATGCTCAAACATATACCAGACCCCACATCAAAACGGTGGACATAAAACGGAGCCACACGGGATACCAATTCTATTCCAACTTTGACCCTCATTTAATGAGTGAATTGACAACGCCACCCCTAAATCAACGCTGCTTGTTGATATAGGATACCAATTTGGATTTGCTTTGGGTCTACCTCTCATGAAAGAGTCACAACAACTTAAAAAAAGAAAAGATAAATATGTTATGATTGCTTTATTTATGAATAAATGCTATTTCTGAATATTGGTAAGCCAATATGGTTGCTTCACCTTATGTTAATAGTATTTCATATATGTGTATGGGATGATATGTGAAACGGGCCGACATCCTCATAAATATGGGTATGAATCCAACATAACTGATAGATGGGCTGATATGATTCATAAAGTAGACATATCGGCTTGTCGGTACTTAACACGTGGAAGCGGTAGCTTGACACTTGGCAAGAAAAAGCTTTGCATGCTTTGGAGCCACCTGTCATGAGATTTATTATAAATAGTAGGTTAAGCTCCATTAAATGGTAAGCGTTTATTACACACACTCTCTCTCTCTCTAGTTTCTCTCTCTTACTTATCTTCTCTTTCTTTCTTAAACACATTTTAACTTTACCATCGGAGTGGTTATCCCCGGATCACCCCGGGGTTAGCTTACTTCTGCTCATTGTGTAGGTTCTTAGCTTGACTATAGGGGAATCAGGATCTCAAGTTCGGGCTTTCGGGTAATCGGATCCAGACCGAAACAACTTGGCGCTAGAAGGAGGGGATTGATCACTTCTATCGCCTAAGAACCTCACACATAAGATAACAACAATATAATTATGACTTAAAATAATGGAACGCCGGTAATTAGTAGAACAATAAACCGATCAATTATAACGCAACCTGAAATCGAGATAGAGGATGAAACTCACACCCTGGAGGACAACTGGTACCATGTGCCGCTAACACCACCAAGGGGTGAAGAAACGGGAGAGGACCCTATGGCCGGGTTCACACTAGAGGATTTGGAGATAGCGATTAGGGTGATGAGTGTAATGAGTAAGAAAAGGAAAGAAGCTGAAATGGCTCAAGCAGGAGGAGGGGTGCCGTTAATAAATTAGGATGAACAGATTAATCAAACAACAAATTCACCAAGGCATCGCCGAAATAGGTCGCCATTAAGAACGCACACAACACCGCGGCAGTTGGAAGGTCAATCCTCAAGTCACACCTTTAATACAAGAGTTCAACATCAGAGAAGCTCTCAGGTAGAGGGACAAGCAGTATGAACTGTGGTTCAGATAAGGGCATCACCGTTTGCATAGAGTATCTTGGATCAGCCGATGGAGAAAATTAAAATGTCGACCTGTAGGTATGATGGAAGAGGAGACCCGGGTAGATTCATAACGTCCTACGAGGGGCATATGATGTTTTACACCAACTCAGATGTTGTTTGGTGTAAAGTCTTTCCGACTACTTTAATTGGAGCCGCGGCTGATTGGTTTAATAATCTGGAAAATGGGATGATAGACAGTTTTGAGAAGTTGACTTAGATGTTTGTGGGGCAGTATGTTAGTAACAGTGTGTGACAGAGAACTTCAGGGGAGTTAATGGCAGTAGGGCAAAGGTCGGATGAGTCTTTAAGAGATTATATCAGACGGTTTAATAACAAGGCAAATACAATCCCGAAGTTGCAACAGGAGATAGCTGTGATGGCATTGATGAATGGCTTAAATGATTCCGAGTTTAAGCGCTATCTTACACGAAAGAATTTTCAAACATTGGCAGCTGCTTTTAATAAAGCCAATGATTACATCAAAAGTGAAGAATTGATGAAAACAAGTAGTAAGAATGTAGCTGTTGGCAAAGGTCAATATCAATATGAAGGTGCAGCCTTTGGAAGTGGAAGGCCGAGAACTTCGACCCCAAGAAGGGGAGGGGGAAATCGGCAAGAGTTTAGGACTACAAAACCACCAATGCGGTACAGTTTGTATACTCCCTTGAATACATCAAGAGCAACAATTTATTCGGTTAATCAGAATAGAGAAAGCTGGACAAGGCCAATTCCGATGAAGGCAAGACCAAGAGATGTTAAGAAGTATTGTGTTTCATAGAGATGTGGGTCATTATACCGAGGAGTGCACGCAATTAAAGGATAATATTGAGGAATTGATAAGGAAAGGGCACTTGACTAAGTATCGGTTAAGTGCGGGGAGAGCTCATGTTGGGGTTTGGTGGGTCCGACTCACTGCGGAAACAAACCCAAAAACAAGACCGCACTCGCAATAAATAAAACCATAAACATAATTATATTAATCACAAGATTAAGATAAGCTAATTACCTTTGACGCGTGCTTTGCTCCAAAATGAGCTCTTACTTGAAAGCTTCAAGTCCCGCTCACACGGAGACCTCCAACGAAGTCCACCCGCATCAACAAAACCGACTAGGTCCAATGTCTTAGGGTTAGCAAGACCCGACCAATAAAACCGAGTAATTATATTGAGTTCAAAGGTTTTCACTAATTGTGATGCCTTTTCCAACTCTTACTCAAGCATCATTCCCAATGCCCATACTTGGGTATTTATAGGAAATGATGGGAGTATCATTTACTCTCCCATCAATGTGGGATAGTATGATTTTTCCATTTTATTTTAAAAGCTAAAATAAAATTAATAATCAAGCTAGTAATAAATCAACAAGTGGCAAGCTCATGTGAGTGGTTAGGTGAGGATCACTTGGAGAAGGGGGGACCAAACTTGTTCCCCACTCCCTCTCCCATAATCGGCCACCTCACTCCACACACACTCAAGGACCACAAGCCACATGGCACCCACCCTTGGGCACCAAGGCAGCCAAGGTGGGCTGCCATGTGCTGCTGTCCGTGGCAGCCATGCCCAACAAGCCCAGCAGGCCCAGCACTCGCATGCGGGCTGCCAGGCGCTGTTGCCAGCAATCCCAGCATGCTTGTGCGGGCTGCTGCTGGCCTTGTGCCTTGGCCAGTGCTGCTAGGAAGCAAGCAATGGCCTAGCCATGCTGCTGCTAGCTGTGGCGAGCTGGCGCGCTTAGCGTGCTAGCTGCTGCAGCTTGTTGCGGCATGGCTTGCTAGCCATTGCGCGCACAAGGCTGTGCCTAGCATGCTAGCACGCACTAGGCAGCGCCTAGCCTTGCGATGCTAGCATGGTGCGCTAGCACGCACCAGCCAGCCTAGGCTCGGCTTGGTGCGCATGCTAGCCACCATGCTAGGCCATACGCCCTTAGCACTCGGTTTGCTTGGGCATTTCGATGCTAGGGGTATTTTGGTCTTTTGTTGATTTATTACTATTTCTCGTCTCGTCTTTCACTATTTTTCGACTCGACTTCCGACGCTCGGTTTAGACGCTTTAAGCTCGAATTTCCGACGTCTAAATAAATATTACTCGGTCGACTGATTAATTCCTTCCGAATTAATTCGTCGGTTCGGTTTCTTGAATGCTTGGGTGTGACCCGAAGGGTTCAATCAAGATTAAAATGTAATATTAATTATTCATTAATATTACTGATCGGAAGCGGCCTCCACCCAGGCATTCTGATCACTTGACCTCACTGAATATATTAGCTTTCTAATAATTCTGAACCCACTAATGGAATAGTACACTTGTTCGAAGGACACCGTTCCTTTCAATCTCCCACTTGTCCTTCCGGACAAGTGCGCATTTTGTGTACAACCTTTTTCCTATGTCGCTTAATGTCTCTTCATGAACTATAAGGTAAGATTTATTTTGTCATCCTTATTACGTCCAGAAGTGTATCCCGATTCCGAGTCCGACTGTCAATAAACAGATGATTTCTAAAATCCATCCGAGCACGGCCATGCATTTTACGATCTCGCTCTACGAGAGGCCTTGTATACAACAAAGACATCTTCCCTATTTTAGTAGGGGGACATTCCCAGTCTTGTAATGTAGCTCCTCTTACTGAGAGGACCTAGTCGCCCGAGTGTTGCCGTTATAATCCCCTATTACGGCAAACGTTTGACAACATCAAAGCGAACTAGTACTCAAACAAGAGAACTCACAATACTCATGGTCGAGGAAATAGGTTCCGATAGCCATAATGAGAAGTATACTTATGACAAATTTTTTAATTTCTTAAAGTATTCTCATAGGTCGATCCAGTATGGTTCTAAACCAATACCTGTGCAAATGATTTATGATAATCATGTCCTTGTAGCACATGAAACGGTGCTATAAATCAAACTACACACTAATCTCAATCGGTTATTAATCGTCCATCGTTTAAATGACCTTGATTAGGGATAATTTTCGATTATAATATTCAATGTTCACTTAATAGGTGTTTCCTTACCAAGACTGGTCTTGATACCCTATTTTGAATATTCTCAGAATCGAATGGACTCATTATTTAATCCTAAACCACAATTAAATAGCATAACGAGTAATAAAATATTGCATGAAATTTTATATTACTCCAAAACTTGAATGGTTTTCCTTAGCGTCTTACATTAATTTTTCTCAAAATTAACTAAAACACTAAACAAGGAAATCAAAGCCAGTCTCCTACATGCTTGATTCCCATTGCCTCAACGTGCTTGTTGTGCTTCACTTGAGGCAAAGGTTTAGTAAGTGGATCGGCTACATTGTCATCCGTTCCAACTTTGCAAATTCTGATTTCACCCTCTGATTTCCATTCTCGAATCATGTGAAATCGCCGCTTGACATGTTTGACCTTCTGATGTTCCCTAGGCTCTCTAGCCTGAGCAATAGCTCCATTGTTGTCACAATAGAGGGCTATTGGACCCTTTATAGAGGGTACAACATCAAGTTCACCAACGAACTTACGAATCCAAAAAGCCTCCTTAGCTGCTTCAGCAGCTGCTAAGTATTCGACTTCAGTTGTAGAATCTGCAATTGTACTCTGCTTTGCAATCTTCCAACTAAACGCCCCTCCATTTAGACAGAACACATATCCAGATTGCGATTTGAAATCGTCTCTGTCTGTCTAGAAGCTTGCGTCGGTATAACCTTCCACAACTAAATCCTCTGCACCACCATACACCAGGAATTTATCCTTGTTCCTTTTCAGGTACTTTAGGATATTTTTGGTCGCAGTCCAATGCGCCTCTCCTGGGTCTGATTGGTAACGGCTCGTAGCACTCAAGGCATACGATACATCTGGCCTAGTACATATCATGGCATACATGATCGATCCAATAAGCGAAGCATATGGAATCTGATTCATTCTTATCTGCTCATCAAGTGTCTGTGGACACTGCTTCTTGCTTAGGGTTATGCCATGTGACATTGGCAGGTGACCTCTCTTGGCCTCCTCCATGCCAAATCGAGCAAGTACCTTATCAATATAAGTACTCTGACTCAATCCAATCATCATTTTAGATTTATCCCTATAGATCTTGATGCCTAGTATGTACTGAGCCTCTCCCAAGTCTTTCATTGAGAAGCACTTTCCAAGCCAGGCCTTTATAGACTCTAACAACGGAATGCTTTTTCCAATGAGCAATATGTCATCGACATATAAGACTAGGAAGGCGATGTCACTCCCACTAACCTTCTTGTAAACACAAGATTCATCTGGATTCTTGATAAAACCAAACTTACTGATGGCTTCATCGAATCGCAGATTCCAAATTCTGCTTGCTTGCTTTAGTCCATAAATGGACTTCTTAAGCTTACAAACTTTCCTAGCATTGTTTTGGTCGACAAAACCTTCAGGCTGTGTCATATACACAATTTATTCCAAATAACCATTAAGGAAGGCGGTTTTGACGTCCATCTGCCATATTTCATAATTGTAATATGCAGCAATCGCTAGGAGGATCCGAACGGATTTAAGCATTGCGACTGGTGAAAAGGTTTCATCGTAATCAATATCATGAACTTGTCTGTAACCTTTTGCCACCAATCTAGCTTTGTAAATGAATACATTTCCATCTTTGTCGGTTTTTAACTTGAAAATCCACTTACATCCAATAGGTGTATAACCTTCGGGTAAGTCAACCAAGTCGCAGACTTGATTTTCAAACATGGAATCCATTTCAGATCTCATGGCCTCTTGCCATTTAGTAGAGTCGGTGCTTGCCATCGCTTGCTTGTAGGTTGCCGTTCATCTCCATCCATAATCAGGATGTCCTGATTCTTGGTTAATACTAAACCAAGATATCTATCAGGTTGAGATCTCGGCCTCTGAGACCTACGTAGGGTAATGGATTGAGCATTTGCATTGTCGGTTCGACTTTGCACATTTTGATCATTTTGACCTGCGTCAACAGATGTTGTTTGAGCACTTTGACTGTCATTATGATTTTGTTGCTCATCCTCACGAACTTCGTCGAGTTCGATTTTCCTCCCGCTTGTCATTTAGGAAAGGTGCTCCTTCTCCAAAAAGACACCATCGCGAGCAACAAACACTTTGTTCTCCGATTTGTTGTAGAAGTAATACCCTTTGGTTTCTTTTGGGTAGCCCACAAAGTAAACCTTGTCAGATTTGGGATGAAGTTTGTCAGAAATCAATTTCTTGACATATGCTTCGCATCCCCATATCTTTAGAAAAGATAACCTGGGAGGTTTCTTCGTCCATAATTCATATGGAGTCTTTTCTACAGCTTTTGATGGAGCACGGTTCAGTGTTAGTGCCGCAGTTAGAAGTGCGTGTCCCCAGAAAGAGATAGGAAGATCACTAAGACCCATTGTTGATCGTACCATGTCTAACAAGGTCCGATTTCTCCTTTCGGATACTCCGTTCCATTGAGGAGTTCCTGGAGGTGTCAATTCTGAAAGTATACCCTTTTCTTTCAGATGGTCATCGAATTCTTGGCTCAAGTATTCACCACCTCGATCCGATCAAAGGGCTTTGATTTTCTTGCCAAGCTGATTTTCAACTTCACTCTGAAATTCTTTGAACTTTTCAAATGATTCAGATTTATGCGACATGAGGTAGACATAGCCATATCTACTATAGTCGTCTGTGAAAGTGATGAAATATCAATGTCCATTTCTTGTGGTTGAGCTCATTGGTCCACATACATCGGTATGTATAAGACCCAAAAAGTCACTTGCCCTTTCTCCCAACTTGGAGAATGGCTGTTTAATCATCTTG